CCCCCTGTTCTCCTCCCACCCCCCCTCGCTCCCTGTGCTGACCTGGGCAGGAGCCGTCCGGCGCAGCCATGAAAGATTCAGAATTAAAGATGGCGGTGGACAGCAGGAGCCTCCTGTGGCCAGAAAGCCTCAAAATGCGTTTAAATGTGTTTTCTTAAAGGGGCAGAGTTTTGTGTGTTTTTTTTTTTTTTGACAACTGTGCTCTAAGTGCTGGATCCACTGCTATCTTGGCTCTTTGCCCAGAATGGGTTGGCTACCCCTGCTCTAGGGCCCTAGTACACTACATGCTTGTAAGAGAGTTGCGGTCTCTGTGTTCTCTTTTTAGATTAGATGTACCACTGCCTCAGTTTACCCCTTGTGTATAACAATGTACCACAAATCTTAGTAACACTAGATCTTCCTTCTAGGTCTTCAAATACCATTCAGAATGGTCCCTATCCTCTGTATATCAGGATTTCTCAAGTCTTTCCCCAAGCTCCTGGGGCCCATCTCTTAATGCAAGAGTTCCAGACAGCAGGTTCATTGCCCAGTTTACTGTATTTCCAGGCTTGCTTACTAGCTTTTTGCTTCCCTCCCTGCCTCATTGGGCTTGCTCTGTTTTATTTAGATCCTCAAGGATTTAGTGCTTGACCCAATTTCTCTTCAGCTCTTTCCCGAGGCTCTGCCAAGGTGTTCTCCAAGCTTCCCCAGAGAGAGGCTTTCAAGCAGCTCCAGTTTCTCATATAGGACCCCCTCCCAGACTGGACTGGACTTTTGTTTGTCTTGTCCATGTGATCCCAGGACACTTCAGTTAAACCTGGTGGATTACATCCTCAGAATTCCCAGATATGCTGGACCACACCATGTCCTCAACGTATAGTCTTGACAATTATGAAAACACTTGACAATTGAAAACTTTTTTTTTTTAACTTAGAAATTACTACTGTCCCTTCTACGGCTGATGTCAGAAATGCCACAAAGAAGTACAGTAATTACTCGCTTAACATGTGCCCGCTTAACACGTTTTTGTGATGATACAATTTTTTTGGGAATGTGTTTTTTTTTTTTTTTTTTTTTTTAAACAACATGACCGTCCCCGAAATAACACGGTTACCCAGCCAGCTGGTTGCCGGCGACTGCGTGGGACTTCCCCTGCCTCCCTGCAAAGCGGTGGAGGGTTTGCTGTGCCGTTCCCCGGCGACCCGCTCTTGCGGGACGCCTTGCTCCCTCTCCTCCGCCCCCGCTTGCAGGCCGGCGGCTGGGTGGCTGTGCGGGGCTTCCCTGCCCCCCCCTTCAGAGCAGTGGAGGGTTCACTGCTCGCCGCGTTGTTCCCTGAAGACCCCCTCTTGCCGGACACCTTGCTCCCTTTCCTCCGCCCCAGCTTGCAGGCCAGCAGCTGGGTTTCCCCATTCCCCACCACTTGAAACACAACCCCCACCTTTTCCATTATTTTCAATGGAAAAATTGACCCCGCATAACCCGTTTTCACTTAACACGATCAGTTTCTGAAACGTATCTACCGTGTTAAATGAGGAATTATTGTATTCAAATTATTTATCTATATTACAATAGCGTCTGGAGGCCCCGATGAGGGGTTGGTGCCCCATTGTGCTTGGCACCATGCACATATAAGAAAAAGATAGTGTCAACACCAAAGAGTTTAAGTATTCTGCTTTCTGTGTCGGTGTTTTTATTTCTTGTGTTTGTGGAGGGTTTTTTTTTTTTTGTACTTACAGCTATTGAAGGAGAAACTATATTGAGCTCTGCAAATAAGTCTTCTAAGTAGCTTGCTTTTAAAATGCAACAAATCCCTTTTTAACTCTGATATGGGCCAATATCCCAGAGGCAAACAACTCCAGAGTTCAAGATGCTAAAGAGCCAGACTTGAATTTTGTAACTTTGGGCCGCTTTCTGGTTTAAGGATGGTTTTACTAATGTGGGATCTTGCCTCTTGAGAATATCTGTGAAAGTTTTCGAGCTCCCTTTCAGTAATGCCAGTAGCGTAAGTTGTCTGCATTGTGCTTATAAGACAGCAGCAGCTCTCCACAATTCTGCTTTATTGCTGTGGAAGTGAGAACATCTTACAGAAGTGAAAGTGCTTTGTTCTGCATTAGATATTAGATAACGATTGCCTAGAGGATTTCTAATACTCGTGTTAAGATGGGGATAAAACTATATGACATGACAAACCATTAAGTAAAACAGAGTGATTGCAGCAGCAAATTCCTTTTTGTCCGTGACTTGTGGTACATTTTCTTTTCTAGGGGGATTAAATGTCAGAATGTGTAAGGGGACTATTTTGCTGACTTTGCTGAGCCTGAGTGTGACCTTTGAGCTAGGTTGTGCTCATAAACAGTGGAATGCTTTTCGCAGCATGTTTAAAAGGATCAAGAGTTCCACACCATCAAGCGGAGACCCAGGACAGCCTCTCTTCCTTACTCCATATATTGAAAGTGGGAGAATTGAGGAAGGTGAGAACAAGTTTACAAACTACCTGTCCAGAAAACCTACCTCTTTCTAAACTTTCTGTACAACCTTACTAATTTGCACGAATGATGGGAAACAGCTGTCAATTACTGAGTCCTGGAAGCTATAGGATATGTCTACACAGGGATTAAAAAAATCCTGTGTCTTGGCCCCAAGGGCAGCTGACTCGGGCTTTGGGGCTGGAAACTTGGAAAAAGCTTGAGATGCCTGAATGTTTACATAGCAAATTGTAGCCAGGAAGCCTGAGCCCAAGTTAGCTGGAGCTGTGCTGAAGGGTTTTTAGCCCTGTGTAGCTATACCTATGTCATAAGACACTGAACAATACGGAGATGGTGCAGCATAATGGCCTGTTAACTAAACCTGGGCTTGCTATGCAATCTGTGATGCTACAAAAAAACTCTACTGAACATAACATAAAATAGTCTTTTAAAAGTAGCGAGCTCTTAGAAACTTGAGGCCTACCTCTAGCCCTCTGCTGGGGAGTGCCTTGAGAAGTATAGAGAGAATAAGAATTTGGATGTACATTAATTGGTGAGGTTTTACACAGTCTCATTTTAATACCCCTAAATTCTTCACTTAAATTGGTGCAAGCATGTTGCAATCTACATGGGTGTAGGAGCTCACAAAGCTGGTTCAGATGTTGCATTTCATACGAGAAAAGTTGTATCTTAGAGAAGAAGGCCTGATTGATCAGAGAAACTCCACTACTTTTCTCGTATCGGTTTTATTTGTTGCTCTTTAGCAAAGGGATCAGCGTTCTTCCCCTTCAGATAGAGCCCTGACTGCTGTCTGTGTGTTTTTGTGGTAAATTTAGAGTTGAGAGGTATATGCAAATTCTAAGTTCAGGCCCGTCTCCAGACCTGGTGCACAGAATCTGAATGATCCCAGCCTTCGGGAAGTTTCAACGCTTTGCATTTTAGATTCCCATTAATATATTTAACGTGGAGGGAGAGGGAGGCATTTCTGTATGGAAGCTGTGGAGCTTTTGAGAACCAGAAATGCTCTTGGATGTTGCCCCTCTCCCTTCCCCCCCCATTCACAGTTGAGGTCTTCTGGTTGATTAAGATGTGGCACTTCTGCAATTCCTGTTCCAGATCCCAGGGAGAAAGTGTAGACTCCAATAAGTATGGCTGCTTGAAGGGTGGGATATGCTATGGGACAGGAGTGTGCAAAAGGGTGTTCCCTCCCTGTTCTCCTCTTCTCTGGTCAGTAAGGGTAAGTTTACATAGCAGTATTATTTTGGAATAACATAATATGAATCTACACTACAAGCCTTTATTCTGAAATAGTGTTCAGCTGGAGGTCATCTTACTCTGACTCATGGTAACCTTCATTTCATGAGGAGTAAGGGAAGTCTAAGGAAGACTGTTCTTCCTTCGACTTCCTGCTGTGTAGATCACACCAAAAGCCGAATTAAGCTATTTACACTTCAGCTACATCAACTGTATAGCTGAAGTTGCGTTGCTCATTCTGACTTTAGCACTGCTGTGCAGATGTACCCTAAGGGATCTGCATGCCCCTGGGTTTATTCCTTGTAATGACAACATGTTATCCTGAATACCCCTCTTTTTTTTTTTCGTTAATGCTTGTTTGATATTTGTTGTCTTTCTGCAGGAAGGCAGCTAAGTTTGGTAGGCCCTCTGCCAGGAGTAAATGTGAAGAGTTACTCTGGCTATCTCACAGTGAACAAGACTCACAACAGCAATCTCTTCTTCTGGTTCTTCCCTGCTGAGGTAAATGTACTCATGAGATGAAATACCCCTGTGCCATTTAAAAACATTTTAAAATTATTCATCTAGCTCATAGTATCATGGAGCAAAGATTAGCATTGGGAAGCTAATGTCAGGTTCTCTAGTGTCTATGAAGTCCTGACCAACAACATTTAGAGATTCTGAGAGCAGCAATTTCCAGCTGAGACTAATTTTAAGTTTTTTTAATTCTGAAAAATGTAGGGACTGAATTGGATTATGTATATTTTCCAGCAGGGTTTTGATTCTAACATAGCTTGTTTCAATGCTAATATAAACAATTTTTTGTTTTACTGGATAAACAAGCTGATAAAAAAAAATTAATTCATAATGTCAGAGCTGTCCATCTTCAAAATAATCCTTAGAAAGGGTTGACAGTTCTATTGGACTTAGATTTATAGAAGACAAGGGAAAATGTTAATATAGTGTAAAGAGGAGAGTGACAGATTAAAGATATACATGCTTTATTTACTGTAAAAACACAGATGAGATGCAACATCTATGGTCTGTTACTCACTTTAGTATTCAAGTACCAAACTGTCTAGTATTAAGATATTGTTGGCGGCTATACTTGATTGCTGAATAATGCTGAAGATTTTTGTAAAGCTCTAAGAACATGTGAATACCAAGTTGTTCCACATTGTTTTTCCATTCAAGACTATCTAGAGGAGGAACATGCTATAAACAGAGGAAAGTGAGAATTCTTTATCTCATCACATTCAGCTAATTGATTTTTCTAAGGTCATTCTGAATTCTAGATCTTCCCTGATACAAAGGAATGCTATATACCAGGGGTGTCCAAACTTTTTTCAAAGAGGGCCAGATTTGATGAAGTGAACATGCGTGAGGGCCGACCATTTTGCCTGACATTCTTTGAACCATTAAAATTAAATGCAAATTAACTATTTTATGCAAAGTTTATTGCAAACGGCATACTTTTCATTTCGTCACATGGATGACAAATCTAAACAGGTGTTAAATCACTCTGCCTTTCATATCTGAAGGCCAGATGAAAAAAAAATCCAGGAAGCTGAAATATATGTCAGGAACATTGTAAAGTACATTGCATATTATTGTTAATAAAGGTTGTCTGTCAACTTTTAAGTTCAAAAAATATGAACAGGAACATAACACCAAGTATACATGTTGTGTCCAAATATATTTATAACTGATTTAGACCAACTGACATTAACTGAGATTTTACAATGTATTCATCTCAATACATATGGATTCATTGGGGGTCATAAAAGATAGATATTGCCAAATTACCTGTGGGGCCGTATTAAACCGGAACACGGGCCGCAATTGGCCCGCGGGCCGGACTTTGGACATGCCTGCTATCTTGTATGTAACCCGGGGACTGCCTGTACATTCACCTTGAGAGGATTGCTTGTATTTTACACCTGCCCCTCCACCCCTCCCGCCCCCGCCACAATGTTGTAGTTCACAGCAGGTTGGCTTGAAACAGTTGTAGACTAAAATTTGATCCCAGATCAGTCTGTATATCAAACTTGTGCAAGCTGTGATGTAGGGAAGCCGCTTTTAGAGCGGTTTCCCTAATTAAATCAGCTTTGTAGAAACAAGCAACAATAAGAATGAAAGGAGTCTCATGACCTCATTTTCATTATTGCTAATTAACCTCTTGTATCTTTACCCACTGTGTGCTTTTGTCTTCCTTGTCCTTGATCTCACTATCCTCCTTGTTTGTAACCTTCAGCTTCTTATGTCTCCGGTATAGACTGGACTATTGTCAGTGTGTTCTTTAGCTGAGAATTATCCCAAGCTCTAATTGTATCCCATTTCATCATGTATAAGATAGAAATCTTGTCACTGTAACTCAGTTTATCATGATTGATTTTTAAAGGTGGAGAATCAGTGTAACTTTTTGCAATCTTGGCCTTTGTATTTTTCAATTTGTTAGGTTACTGGGGGGATTCATTTAATGTTCTGAAGTTATTTGAGGCTGTAGGGGGAAGCTGTATTAAAATACAGTATTAAACCTTAGATTTGCTACTTTTCAAACTGTTAGGAAAATGAATCACTTGTGTGCAATCTCCAACATATATATGGTATATTTAATTTAAAAAAAACCCCTAAAATCAATTAGCCTCACTCTATCACTCTATATATTTTGCTCTTGTAGGATGCTGGTGTGTTGTACCAGCTTGCACTATGAATATTTTAAATTTATATCTCTCGCTGAAGGGGGAAGTGGATTTTGAGACCTATGGTAAGGTGATGTCACCAAGATTAGAAGTGCTCAGTATCTCAGAACATTATGCTGTGATGGTTGGTGGCGGCTGTAAGGATTTGACTAATTTCAGAAAGTTTCCTAATACAGACATTTTTGTAACTGTTGAAAAGAAGTTAGTGTCTACAACTGCTTTGTCTTCAGTTTTAGATAATTTGTATTTGTCATATCACTAGGCTCCATGCATTAATGTAACTGATTGTATTCCAGCTCTGTTGTACTAGAAGATTGTTGAGGCTGGGACTATGTTTAGTCTTGTGCACCTTTGCTGTTTTGCTCCAGCTGTCCTTGTTGTGCTTATATAGTTGGATCATCACAAAATAATATCTAGCTGTTTTGACTTTTCAGTAACTGATCAGACATCTGGTCTCTGTTTTAAGAACTTATGTACCGTATTTTCCGGCGTATAAGATGACTTTTTATACTAAAAAACATCCCCCAAAAATCGGGGGTCGTCTTATGCGCTGGGTATAAACATACAGGCAGTCCCCAACTTGCAGGTACGAACGGGGCTTTTCTCGCCCCGGAGGACACGGACTGCAGGACCTCGCGGTCCCGCCGCCCGTGTACTCCAGGGCGAGAAAAACTGCTTCGCGTCTCCCTGGTCTGCAGACCAGGAAGACGCGGAGCAAAGCTGTGAAGGGGGTCCGGCAGCGGGGCAGCCCAGGCGCGCCTGGGCTCCCCCGCTGCCCGAGCTCCTCCGCGGCTTTGCAAAGCCTCGGGGGCAGCCGGC